CCACTTTACGTCCATCCCCATACCCCCCCCCCCCCCCCCCCGGCCCCACACACACACACACACGCACACACACCCTCGTACCATGGCCGACGAGCCCGAGCGCAAGTACACCAAGAAGGAGTTGCTGACGCAGCGCGAGCTGGTCTTTGCCCTCAAGGAGGAACTGGCGGAAAAGGTGGTCGAGTTTGAAGCGCACTCGGTCGACTACGATGCCGTGTCATCTGGCGTAGCTGGCGTAGCTGGCTCGGCTGGATCGGCTCCGGCGGCTTGGAGCGAGGAGCAAAAGGCGGCGGCGGTCTCTGCCATCACCGATCTCCGTCACAGGCTCATCACCGAGTCCAACATGCTCAAGCACATGTTCAAAAATCGCGAGCCGTCGCTGAGGCCGCACTCGAAGCGCTCGCGCTCGCGAACAAGGTCGTCGTCGTCGGCCGCAGCTGCTGCTATTCGCTCCAGGAGGGCCCACTCGTCGTCTCGCGTCTCGTCGACCTCGTCGTCCGATGCTAACGATGCAGCGGCGGCCATCGCGGCCGTGGCCGTAGAGGACACCTCCTCGGTCACCCTCTCTACTCTTCCGTCGTACTCCTCGACCACAGCCGCTGGCGGTCCTGCCAACGACTCGATGTACACCTCGTTCGGCTCGACTTCATCTTTCATGCAGCCGCTCACGCACTCGCGCTCCATGCAGGTCTACACCTGGGGCCCGTACGGCTACTCGCTCACCTCACTTCCGGCGCCACTTCATCCCCCTCCTGCCGCCCCTGCCTCCAATCCGGCTCCGTCCGCCGCTCCCGCTGCTTCCGCTGCGCTGTCGCTCGTCCCCGATGACCTCGACGGCGTCTTCCGCTCCTCGCGCGACATCCTCGCCGCCTGACCGCGGCGAACCCCTAAGCCTCTACGGTACGGAGTGGACAGTTTTGTCCATCGCGCAAGCCGCGCTCCGCGATGCTCCGCAGTCGTCGCAACGTCCATGGATTGTTGTAAAAGAGTAGTTCAATGTGTTCATGACTGCCACAACAGAAGACAGTAGGTGGTGCAGAGATGGACGCCGCACGCAGCACAAAAGGTCAGCGGCCGCGATCGTTTACCATAACGCTTCTGGCAGGCGAGGCAGTCGCATCGCAGAGCGGCTCGCTGGGGAAAGTGGCGATGACAAGCAGCCGTTGCAAAGGGACGCCTCCACTTGCGTGACGGCGCGGAGCTGACGGCATTGGCGCTCACTTCGACTCCAGTGTCGCACGGTCGTCTCGGCGAGCAACGACGACGTCGTTGAGTCTGGAGAACGAGAGCACGTTGCCAGGAACCGGCACTCGATCGCGTCCTTCCACGCGACAACAGCAAGGCCGTCGTCCACGATGCACACAAGGGCGTCGCCGGGACGAGTGTCGGGCGGCAGGCCCCACGTGCGAGCCACGCATCGGCCTCTGCGGGCGGTGCCAACCACCCGATGCCCGCGCGCCACGAGGGCGCGGGAAGAGCTGCGCGCTCGAGTTGTACGAGTCCATGATAAACATCTACGGCGAGGCCACGGGCGCGACGAGAGCGAGCACGGTGTCAGCGAGTCGAGTCGCGGCCGGCCGCATCTCGAACGTGGCCGCCACCACGTATCCGCTTCGAGGATGAAGCTCACTTTACTCATCGTCTTCGTACGACTCGTACTCGTACTCGTCGTCGCCGTCGCCGGCTGAGGTCACGACTGCCGCTGCCGGCTGCACTGCAATTTGAACCTCGAGGTCGACGCCCATGTACACGTCCGAGACCGCAAAGACCGACGCCGTGCTTGCCGCTGACGCCGCCACCGGCACTCTCACCGGCTTGCCCACCGCCGTCGTTTTCTTGATGCCAAGCACGGCCTTGCCGCTCGCGTCGCCGACCACCACCCACCAGCCGGCTCTGAGGATGGTGCCCGGGAAGAACGGCGCGATGACCGGGCCGTCGTCGCCGGCCTCGTCGTCGTCGTCGTCTTCCTCGTCGCGCTCGAGAACAACGACGACCTCGTGCGGGCCGCTCGCCTCCGCCTTGAGGTCCAGCGCCGGCAGCGCGTTGGCCGCAGCCGCCAGCTCGCCCAGCCGCTCACCCTCCAGCTGCAGCGCCTTGAGCCGGTCGTCGTCATCCATCTCCATGAGGTCGTCGACCGACGCCACTCCAGCGTTCGACAGCCGCACCACCACCGCGTCATCGACATGCGGTAGCTGGAGTAGCTCCGAGTCGTCGGCCCACACCGCCATCGCCAGCGACTTGGCAATGTCCATCGCCGCCAGCGTCGGCGCGAGGAAGCCCGCAGAAGCCATAGCGTCCACAAGCGCAGACACACACCGCCGCGCCGCGGCCACAACCGCCCGCTGCTCGTTGGCGAGCTGCGGCGGGAGCGCTTGTCGTGAAAAGTGCGCCAGCACCAGCGCCACAGCCTTGCCGTGCGCCGTTTCCAGCCGCGGCATGCCCGCCGCCTTGGCCTTGGCCGGCAGCGCCTCCCACAGTGCCCCAAGCGCCTTGCCCTCGCCCCGACGGCTCTTCACCGCAGCCACAACCTCCTCTGCACCGCAGAGGACCGAGACCAGCGGCACGAGCGCAAGGTCGCTCCGCGCCGCCGCCGTGAACAAGCCGACCGTCCGCAGCGAGAGGTTGTAGAACGAGGCAATTGCGCCCGGATTGGCGAGCACAAGACTCAGCCCGTCGTCGCCCACGCTCACCGCACGTGACTCGACGGCCTCCTCCACCGCGTTCTCCACAGTGTCCGAGAGGAAGATCGAGATGTCACCGGGCGTCGCGCTCGCCACGTCGTAGTAGTTGGGGTTGAGCGCCACACGCTTGTACAGCAGCGTCCACGTCAGCCAGTCGACCGCGTCGGCCTTGGTCGCCAGCGAGCCGACCGCAAGCTCCGCCACTAGCGGCGACGCAAACGCGTCCGCCAGCGCTGACTCGACAGGCAGCGCGTGCGTGAGAAAGTGCGCGTAGTAGCTGTGCTTTGCCGCAGTCGTCAGCACATGCGCCGCACCCGTGCTACGGCCCACCATCTTGAGCACACTGGTCACTCCGTAGCTCCCGGTCCCGGCCACCACCACCAGGCCCGCCATCATCCGCCGCGGCAGCGCCGTCACCTGCTCGCCCACAACCACCACGCAGCTCACCAGTCGCCGCGCGTACAGCTCGTCGACCACAGCACGTGCAGACGCCGCCATGCCCGGGTGCATGAATCCGACACCTGCGCTCAGCGCCACCACCAGGCCGGGCTCCTCCTCTACACCGCCCGCCGCAAGCAACTTGCTCCGCACCTCGCCTGCAGGCCCCGCCAGCGCCGCCTCGTCCGGCGCATACCCGCCCTCGCGCGCGCTCGCAAGCGCAACAAGCTCAAGCGCAAGCAGCCGCGCCTGTCGCACACCCGGCACAAAGACCAGGCTCTGTGTGCCGGTTGCGGCCTCGCCTGCGCTCGCCTTGTACACCAGCTTGGACGACGCCCGCTCGTCGAATGCCGTCACCCGTAGCGTCCGCGCCGCCGCTGACATGGCAAAGTTGAACACACGCTCGCGGTCCATGCCCAGCCACGACCCGATGTCCGACGCATCCGCTGCTGACGCGCCGAGCGCCACAAACCGCAGGCCTGAGTTGAGCTCGGCTGCCATGTACCGCAGCCGTGAGCCAAGCACCTCCATCGTCGGGCCCACGTCCGGGTCGCCGAGGCAGTGCACGTCGTCAAAGATGACAACACGGAGGCTCGACACCGCCTTGCGCGACCGCCACCGCCGCGAAATGCCCTCAAACGCCGCAGGCGTGCCAAGTGTCACGTCCGAGCTCGCCAGCTTCTTCAGATCACTCGTCACCTCGCCGGAGAGCTTGGAGACGACTCGGCCGAGCGAGCCGCCGAGCGTCGCCGACCACTCGCGGTAGAGCGCGTCGAGCGCAGACGCGTGCGGAACAACAACCGCCACTTGCGCCGGCGCGCCGGCAGGCGCCGTCACCAGCGCACGCAGAATGACAAGCTCGCCCACGGTAGTCGCGCCCGCGCCCGGCGGCGCAGCAAACAGAAACGACGCGTCGGTATCCCAAGCCGTGGGGAAGACCTGCGACTGAAGCGGCGTGAGACTGTGGATGCCGCGCGCCTCGTACATCGAGACAAAGGCCGGCACCCGGAGCGCCGCCGTCGCCACCGGCGCAAGATCCAGCACCTCGGTCGGCGCCTCAAACTTGGCTGGCAGCACCAGTCCGGCGAGCGCAATCGGCAGCACCGTGCTCGCCCCAAGATACCGGTCAGCCATGACCCGCACAAAGTACTGCGGCGCCGCGGGCTCAAAGACAGGCACAGTAAAGCTGACTTCCAGCTCAGCATCGTCCGCCCGGAGAACAATCTCCTCCGAGTGGAGCAGCGCCTCGCCGTCGGCATCCTCTACAAACAGCCAGAACCGCAGTGAGTTGCCGTGGAGCTCGCGGGCAAATCGAAAGTCGGGCGTGAGGACGAGGTCGATCTTGAGCAGCGAGCGGGTGAGTGGCTGCAGCGCTCCGCTCACTTCGAGTCGCGGGAACGAGTGCACCGCCTTGTACAGTGGCTTGCCAGCCTTGGGCACACGCACAAGCTCGCCAAGCTCTTGCGGCGACAAATCGTACAGCCGCTCAAACTCAAAGTCGCGCCGCTCAAGCTTGGCCACAAGCTCCGGCTCGACAAGGCCGGGCAGCTGGCGGAGCGGCGAGAACGACCGCCACTGCCGCCGGTCGACTGCCGCGCACAGCTCAAGCAGTGACGCTGACAGCCGCGCCCACTTGCGGGTCCGCGCAATCGCGAACAGCGCCCGCATGAGCCGAGCCGCAGACTGGGCAATGTACACCATGTCTGCCGCAAGTGCGTAGCCCGTCAGCGGCAGCCGCGAGATGTACGCCTGCAGTAGGACGTTGACCTTGGCCAGCGGCTCGTCTGCAGACTCCTTGACCGGCACAGGCACCTTGTCGAGGAGCTTGACGAGTTCTGGCCGCTCGTCGGCACGGACCGGCATGTACTTGAACTCGGCCGAGCCGGCAAAGACCCGCAGCAGGTCAAGGTCGGAGAGCTGCGGGTGCAGCGCGCTCGCGTACGCCGCCACTGACGCCGGCGTCACGTAAAAGTGCGCGGCGATCCGCGCCAGCGGCGTCAGCGCCACGCTCCCAGACCGCGCGTCGTACCGCACCAGACCAAGGTCGTGGAGCTCGCACAGCGCCGAGTGGGCAAGGTCAGTACGGTAGGCCTCAAGGCTTGCGTCGCTCTCGCGCTCATTCGGCATGCTCTGCAGCAGCCGCACAAACAGGTAAGTGTAGCCGAGCCACTCGACCGCGTCGTCACGGCAGGTCAGTGAGCCGAGCACAAGCTCGGCGTTGAGAAGGTCCGGCAGCCGCCGGAGCAGCTGCGACTCGATCGGGAGCTGCGACGAGAGGAGCGAGACATAGTGCGAGAGCTCTGGGTGCGTGGTGATGACTACGCCCTCGCCAAACGTGTCGTACGCCGGCCGGCCGGCACGCCCCAGCATCTGGATGATGTCCAGGCCCGAGAGCGGGACAAAGGCTCCGGCAGCAGCAGAGTACACCGACGTGCCCTTGATGATGACCGCGTGCGCAGGGAGGTTGACACCCCACGCCAGCGTCGCGGTCGCCACCAGTGCCCGCAGGTGGCCGCCGGCAAACAAGTTCTCCACCAGCGAGCGGTGCTCGCGCGGCATGCCGGCGTGATGAACGCCGACGCCGGCCCGCAGCAGAGACGCAAGCGCCGGCGACGAGCATGCCTCGGCCTCGTCCGCAAGAATGACACGTGACGCAGAATCCGGCGGCACAAAGGTTGGGAGGAGGCCGGCGTCCTCAGCCCGGTCGAGAATGTCCTGTGCCGTGGCAAGCGTGCCTTTGCGGGCATGGACAAAGACCAGGACCTGGTGCCCGGCGCTCACCTGGTCTGCCACCTTGGTGTACACAATCTCGTTCTCGAGCTTGAGGCGCTGGTGCGGCTTCTTGGCTGAGATGCCCACCAGCGAGAGCTGCAGCGGGCACGGCCGGTACGTCGCGTCAAAGTAAAAGAGGCCCGAGGAGGCGTCAACCCGCAGAAAGTGCGCCACGTCGCGGTAGTTGGGCAGCGTCGCCGAGAGGCCGACCAGCCGCGTCGGGTTCTGTGTCTCCTCTGCGAGCCGCAGCGTCCGCGCCACCAGCGCCTCGAGCACAGCGCCGCGCTCATCATGGAGAAGATGGACCTCGTCGATAATGAGGAGCCGGACCATGTCGAGGAGCCGGCCCTTGCGCGAGAGCACGTCGAGCTTCTCAGGCGTCGCCACAATGACCGACGTTGCCGCCAGCTGCGACGCCGCCAGCGACGAGTCTCCCGACAGCTCGGCAACAGTGATACCCAGCGGGGCGAGCCGCGCCGAAAATGACTGCACCTGCTCAGCAACAAGCGACTTCATCGGTGAGGTGACCACCACCTTGAACGCCGACGTGTCGATGACGCCTGTCGCCGGATTGCGGTACTTGGCAATGGTGTTGAGGATGGTGAGGACGGCAATGTTGGTCTTGCCGGCGCCGGTCGGCGCACAAATGAGCAGGTTGCCTCCGGCCGGCGACTCGTTGTTGAACGCCGTCGGGTACACTTTCGACTGGATCCGGTTGAGCGAGGTCATGCCCGGGAAGCACGGCCGAACCCACTCGGGGAGCGAAGCGATCGGGACAAGCGCGTTGGCGTCAACCTGCGGCGGCGCCGGGGCCGGAATGATGATCTCCTCTGAGTACCGAGACTGAATCCGCTTGACTGTCGCCGGTAGCGTCGTCGAAGTTCCGTGGACTTGCGACGACGGCGGCGCCTGCGCCAGCGACGCAAGGTCCAGCCGCCTCGGCTGCCGCCCGCCTGCGGCCGGAGCCGCTGCCGCCGCCGCCGCCGCCGCTGCCGCCTCGCCGCCTTCAAGCACAAAGTCCGGGTTGGCCTTGGCCAGCAGCGGGTACGCCGGCGCAAGGTCCGGCGCAGCCACCATCGCCTTCAACACCTCTTGCCGGGCCGCCGTCGAGTCTGCATCGCAAAGCGCGATGACGTGGGTGACGAGCCGGGCGTTGGAGACCAGCTTGCGTGTGAGCGCCACGGCGCCCGGCGATCGCCCAATAGCCTGGGAGAGCCGGTTCTCGGCCTCGCGGCTGGAGATTGAGTCGCTGAGGATGTCGAGGACGTGGTCGACTGTCGCCGCCACTGCGTCCGGGTGCTTGTCCATGGCCTCGGCTACGTCGCGGAGGAGCGAGCCTCGGGTGATGGCTGTCGGATCCATCGAGTACGTGAGAGTGCCGCCGGCGACCGGCGCGGGCATTTGCGGCGTGCCGTCGACGACCGCCATCGGTGCCAGTCCAGAGCCGCCGCTCTCGCCGGCCCCGCCTGCGCCACCGTCGTCCGAGTATGAGTACGAGTACGAGTACCCGCCGTCGTCCGAGTACTCGTCGTCGTCGTCCTGGGCCACGACCGCAAGGTCCATGGCGGCCGGCGCCTGCGGGCCGACCGGTGCCGGCTTGGGTGCAGGCATGTGGCGGGAGACAAGGCCCTCGATGGTCGTCAGCGTCTCGCCCGGCATGGCCGAGCCAACAATGTCCGCCAGAAGCGCCGGACGGGCGGCCGGTGCGATCTCCTCGTCGTGAAAGACGGCCACAACCTCGTCGGCGGCGGAAATGAGCACATCATGCGAGACTGGCGGAAAGAGCGGAGCCAGAAGCGCCAGCAGCTGGTCAAAAGCCCGTGACCGAGCTGAACCGGCCGGAGCCGACGAGAGCTTGCCCGCGGCAGTAGCGGAGGCGCCGCCGGCTTGAGCAGCAGCAGCTGATGACAATGATGAGCGGCCATGCTGAGCACGACGAGCCTTCTTCCTCCGCAACTTTGCCAGCTTCTCTTCCACTTCCCGAGGGCGAACCCTCAGAGCTCTATCACCCATCCGCGTGCCGCCCATATGGTCACGGAGTGACTCGGGAATGCCCGTCGGCTCGTCCGGGTCGCGCCGCCGCCGTGTCGACGAAATAAGTACCACATTCTCATTGCCGCGGTACTCGTAGTTCTTGAACTCAGACATGCTGTTTGGAGTGGAGGCGAGAGGGGGGGAGGTGGGGGTGGGGGTGGGGGTGGGGGTGGGGGTGGGGTGGGGGTAGTGAGGTGGAGGCTGAGGGGTTGGTTCGGGTGGTCGGGCTGGACGGGGTGTCGCTGTGATTGATGGCCGGCGGCCAGCTGGCGGTCGGCTGGTGGGCGGGCGGCTGGCGGCTGGCCGGCCGGCTGGTACAACAAGCGGGTGCAGGACACTGGAGTGATCAAGTCAAGGTTGGGGCTTGTTGACCGCGAGAGGGCAAGAGGCTTATTGCTTTGCGCTCAAAGATGTTCAAGTAGGTCGAGCCTGTCAGGCACGATGAGCGGCGACATGGCGGCGCTGGACGAGGCGATGGTCAAGATGGCGGCAGGAGCCACCGACAATGGCAGAGACTGCCGGGGTATGTGGCGGCGTGGGATGGGCGGACGGCGGTCACGGCGAGCACAGGTCAGACTCGGAGTGGATCCCAGCTCAGCGTGGGTGGAACGACGCTTGCGACGACGAGGACAGCGCTGCGGATGGCGCCGCAGTTGATGCTGGCGGGGCTGAGACCGGTGCTATTCTGCTGGATCGAGACCCACCGCTCTCTGAGCCGACTCTCGTCTATCTCCGCATGGGCACGCTCATTGTCTCGCCCAGCAATTGTCGTACAAGGGCGGTTTAGAAGAGGCCAAGTTCTTGTTCGGCCTGAGCGAGTCAAAGAAGCGAGGCGCAGCGAAAACATGTGACGACGTACACAACACGATCGCACGACTTCTAATTTCAGAACTAGATGTACCCCATTCTGATCCGTCAAGGGTCCGATCGAGCCCGGCAGCCATGCGGCTTCTCAACGGCGGCACGTACCCGCCGCCAGCCGTGCAGGCCCTGTGGCCGTCGAAAAATGGCCATAACCAACAAAATAGTCCACGGTTCTTTGGCGGCGGTAGAGTCGGCGAACACTGCGGAGAGACCCTCCCGGCGAAAATCTGCAATGCCATTTTGTGTGCCGCTGCCGTACACCCAGCGACACCTCACGCACGCCTCCTCTGCAAACCCTGGTCAACACTCGTCTCAGTAGCTGTTGGGGATTGGATCTTCATGGTGTTCTCCAGTACGTGTCTTTTCCCGTCCTTGCACTACCGCGCCCTCTGCCCTCTCCCCTACAGTCGGCTTCCGGCCTGTGTGCGGATCACTCGCCATGACAGCCAGTCCGACCGTCGACCCCCGCCGCCGCCCCGGCTAGCCCTCTGCTCAAGTTCGCTCTTCTGCACCCCATTCCAGCATGTTCACGCTTTTTCACATGCAATCTCCCAAGCATGACGTACTCTCTTACTCATACCCTCGGAACACTGCAGAGAAAGGTCTCCATAGCCTACTGTTACGTCACACAATTTTTGTGTGCCTGGTCGCCGCCTTTTCAGCCGCACCAATTCTGGCTGCGTCCTTTCCCGACGTGCCACAATGCAAGCCCGAGGCCAATCTTGAGCCTCCTCTCGCTCCCGTGACTGGTGTAGACTCGGGTACCGCCTACGCCATGGCTGTGGCCGACTTTACTGGCGACGGTTGCCCGGATGTCGTGGTCAGCTACCACAGCTTCGTCAAAGCCTACAAGTGCACCGACGGCAAGGGCGGTGCATTTGCACATTACGAGACGCTGACATCCTCGGTCAGCCACGCTGCCGACATTGCAGCGGGGCATATCGACAACAACGGATATATTGACGTTGCTACCGTCTCGAAGAACAACGCCGACGTGATCTATTTCCTCAACCATGGTACCTTCTTTGGATCGCAAGTTGTGCTCAAGTCCACCGCCGAAGCTATTCACGCTGTCGCCTTTGGCCGCATGAACAACGACGGCTATGACGACCTGGTTGTCGCTGATCGGCACTACATCCACTGGTTTGCTCGACAGGCTGGTGGCGGCTACGTGACCGGGACCGAGACTGTAGTCTCGTATATTGTCGATGTCTACTTCGGCAGGATCGCGACCGGTCACATGAACGCCGACTCGTACACAGACGTTGTCTCGGCGTCATACGGCCACGACAATATCGACATCCACCTTTCCAACAACGCCGCAGGTTCCTCGTTCACCACCTCATACGTCACAAGCTCTCTCAACACTAACGATCTTGTCCTCGCCGACCTTGACCAGGATGGCATCAACGACATTATCTACGTCTCCCCTACCTTGGGCAGGCTGGGCGTACTTATCAATAGCGGCGTTGCGACCTTTTCTCACCATACCATCACATCTAGTCTCGCGTCTGCTCGTGGCGTCTCCGTCACAGACTGGAACCATGATGGCATCCCTGACATCCTCGCCGGAAGCTCGTCCCATCTCAAAGTGTTTCTCAACTCGGGCAGTGGCACGGCGTACACCAGCCACCCCATCGACGGAACGACTTCCTCGGTCCGCGACGTCGGTGTCTTTCCCGTCAATGATGGCCTTATTGCCGTTGCTGCACTCGACAACCGCCCGTACTTCACCGACATCTACACAGACATCGGCAAGTTTGGCGCCGGAACCCAGATTGATTCAGGCCTGGGCGACCCAGGGCCGCGCGCCACCGCCATCGCCGATCTCGACTCGGACGGCGACGGCGACATCGTCGCCGCTATGGCCGGAGGCAGCCTCGTCTGGTACCGCAACGACAACGAAGATGGCACCTTCACTGCCGCCATCACCGTCGATGCCTCCACCCCCTCCGGTCCGCGCTCTCTTGCCGTGGCTGACCTCGACGCTGACGGTGCTCTAGACATTGTCCTTGTCACCGACTCGGGCACTCTCGGTTGGTACCGCAACACTAATGGGATGGGATCTTTTGCTGCTCATGCCCTCCTCACATCGCCTACATCGCCCACGCATGTTGTCGCCTGCGATCTCAACGCCGACGGCTTTGTCGACCTCGCCTACTCCCATGCTTCTGGCGCGTCGTGGCTCGCCTCGACAGGCCCCGCCTCGTTTGCAACGCCGGCATCCATCTCGACAGACGCCCCGGGCATCTGGCTAGCATGTGCCGATGCAGACGGCGACGGTGCGCACGATCTTGCCACGCTTGGAGATGACGACCTCGCCTACCACCACAACGATGGCGGGACTGGCACTTTCTCTTCCTCCATCGTCGCCACCGGTCTCACCTCGCCGGTTTGCGTCACCTTTGCTGACCTCGACAACGCCAATCGTCTCGATCTCGCTGTCAGCACCGATCCCCCTGGCGTCGTCAACAGTGTTCTTCGCACCTTTACCTCGACCTCACCGGCAGCTGCAACCTACTCGGAGGTGGTCCTTGCCTCAGATTTGGCTTACGCCGGTCAGGTCGTGGCCATGGACGTCGATCACGACGGGCGTGACGACATTGTCGCCTCTGACTCGTACGCCGCCTTTGTCTTCATCACTCCGCTTACGTCGTCTTCCGACGTCTTTAGGAATGCCAACAGCCGTCCGCACGTCCTCGCCACTGGCGATCTCGACTCGGACGGCGACGATGACCTTGTCGTCGGCACCGTTGCCACCGGCATTCTCCGTACCTTCCCCGTCATCTCACGCCACTCGCAGATCCAAGCCCAGCTTGCTGCCAGGAACATTGCGCCGCCTCCCGGGCACTCGGATCGCTCGTCCCGAGCCATCTCCGACCTTGTCGCCAAGTCTTCGCGATGCGTCACCGACACGGTCCTCATCCCAACGGGCACCTACGCCTGCCCGACCTTCCATCCGCTCATCACCTGGCCGGTCAACATCGCGCCCGTCACCCCCGGCGGTGTCACCATCGACTGTGCCAACCAGAGTTCAGATGGTGTCGTTCTCAAGGCTGCACCCTCGCCGGTGACTGGATCGCCGCTACGCGGTGTAGTCACTGTCAACGACATCGACGTCGTCAACTCGGGCTCCTCGGGAGGTCTTCCGGCATTTGCCGTCTCAGGCACCGGCGCCGCCCTCACCATCAGCAACGCAGCCATCTCCGAGGCCGCTGTGGGCGGATCAGGCGGCGCCGTCGTAGTCGACGACGGCGGTGTCCTCGTCGTCACCAACACCTCTTTCACCAACTGCGAAGCAGGCGGGTCTGGGGGCGCCATCTATGGAACGCCCTCGGCCGGCAGCGTCACCATCAGCTCTGTCACCCTCTCCGGCAACACCGCTGGAGCCGGCGGCGCCATCGCCTGGACCTCGCCCGCTGCGCTAGCCATGGACTCGGCATCGACGTGCAACGCCAACAAGGCAACCGCAGGCAATGGTGGATGCCTTCTGGTATCAACTCCTTCTCCCGATCTCAGCCTCTCTGGCGTGACCGTGAGTAACAACTCAGCGGCCGGCTCGGGCGGGGGCCTGGCTGTCCATCGCCCAACGGGTGCCGGAGGCGGCTCTGTCGCCATCACCTCCGGCACGATGTTCAACGACAACGTGGCCGCCGTTGATGGCGGTGCGCTCGCTGTGAGTGTTGCGCCCGGTGCGTCGGCACCGGCTTCGCTCTCGCTCTCGGGCGTGACAGCAATGGGCGGATCGGCTGGGAGGGCAGGCGGAGTGGTGGCCATCGCCTCGCGCCCGGGCGCAGCGTGGGCCACCACCATCACCTCGTCGACTTTCACCTCGCCAAACGCCAGTATCGGAGGCGGCCTTGCGTGCGCGCATCCAGACTATGCGCTAAGCGGCCCGTACGCCGTCTCGAGCTTCCCCACCGCCGCCCCGGCCTCGGGCGCCACCATCGCCTGTGATGGACTCACCATCTCGACGGCGACGGCTCTGTTTGGCGGTGGCGTGTTCGAAGCCGACTGCTCACTCTCGGCATCGGCCAACAAGCTGACCCTCTTGAGCTGCTCCGCGCAGGTAGCCGGTGCCGAGGGTTTTGCCGCCGAGTTTGCCTCGGCATCATTCCCGGTCACCGGCCCGGACTCGCCGCACTCGTCGACGTTGATCCAGCCCGAGTCGTACGGCCCGGCGTGGGCGACGCCGCCGGTTTCGGCAGCCTTTACCAGTGACTTTTCCGGCACGGTCCATGCCTCTGGTGTTGAACTGGGGCTTGATATGGCGATGACTGCTCTCGATGGCTATGGACAGACCGTGGCCGATCCCGGCATGGTAGTCGAGCTGACAACGCCCGACTTTGCCACTGCATCGCCGCTCCCGGCAACCCTGGTCGGCACAAACAGCTCCGGCGCAGTTGATCTCAGCACTATGGCTGTCTTTCTCAACACCGACAACCTCTCGGCTGGCATCAAGACCATCGACATCAGCGTGGGCACACTGATGCTCTCGACCACGCTCGAAATCACGCTCTGTCCCGTCAACTTTGGCGCAAAGCTCCCGGCGCCCGCACCAAGCATGCTGACATGCGCCGCTTGCGTGTCGCCAATGTACTCGCCAACGCTGTCGACCGATCCATGCATCTATCCATCGCCGCCGCCGCCATCGCCGCCGCCGCCGCCGCCATCGCCTCCGCCGCCGCCGCCATCGCCTCCACCGCCGCCACCATCGCCTCCGCCGCCATCGCCTCCACCGCCACCGCCTCCATCTCCTCCGCCGCCATCGCCTCCGCCGCCGCCACCACCATCTCCTCCGCCGCCATCGCCGCCGCCGCCGCCGCCACCATCTCCTCCGCCGCCATCTCCTCCTCCGCCGCCGCCCTCACCGCCTCCGCCGTACGCCTGTACCTTGCTGGAACCGCCGGCCAACGCAACGATCAGCTTTACCGACTACGGGTACACCGGGTCAATTGCCGAGACAACATGCCTTCCGCCCACAGTGCAAGTGGCCGGTGATGCGCAACGGATGTGCAGCGGCGGGTCATGGACCGGGATCGAGGCGCAGTGCAGGTACGTGGCCTGCCCGCCGCAAGCGCCACCAGAGTCCGGCAGTATCTCCTGCAGCGGCGATACCGACATTGGCGGCTTTGGAGCGTTCAACGAGACATGCACCTACACATGCAATGCTGGCCTGTCACTTGTCGGCATCCAGTCTCAGACCTGTCTTGCCAACTCGCAGTGGTCGGGTGTGGAGAGTCCGTTCTGCTCGGCGTTCTCCATCAACAGCTCGTTTGTGAGCGACGTCGTCGACATGGTGTCCATTGAGGCAGGGTCTTCGCTCACGGTGCGATTCTTAGTTCGCGATGACAGTGGCAATGCGGTAGTCTCGGGTGTCGACGTGCCGCTCGTCCGCAACGCAGCCGATGGTGTCGATCTCATCTTGACATCTCAGTACCTGGGGGACGGAGAGTATAGCGTGACGTTTCTGCCGCCGACGCGCGCAGGCAGCCACGCCGTCGAATACGGACTCAACAATCTGCTCTTTTTCTCGGGCACTCAGTCTTCGACAGTCATCGTGGTGCCTGGTCCGGCTTCAGGGTCGCGCAGTACGCTGGTGACTGAAGTCGGCGCCAGTGGAGTGCTCGAGCTGGAGACCTCGGTGGCATCCACCTTCCGCATCGCCCTCAAGGACAACTACGACAACATGGTGAGCCAAGTGCCGAGCATAGATGCTGTGCGGGTGACAATCAATCGTGGCATCGAGACGTTCCCTGTCAACGCCAGGCAGTTCGAGGGCCTGCAGCTCGTCTTTGACGTCCTAGTCGAGAACGGTGGCACGTACACGCTCTCGGTCCGGATCAACGACGACGATATCATCGGCTCGCCATTTGTCCTCTCTGCCTCGACCACATGTCTTCCGGGCAGCCGAGTGCTCGACGGCACGTCGTGTGTTGCATGCTCGCCCGGATCGTACTCGGATACCATCAACGCAGTGACATGCACCGGATGCCCGGCATTCACCACAGCCGGCACCGGCGCGAGCTCGTGGCGCAACTGCTCGTGCCTGCCGCTCTTCTGGTTTGGGAGTGGCGACCGGTCCGCAGATCGCGGGTGCGAGCCGTGTCCCATCGGCGCCGAGTGCGCTGGTGGCAAGGAAGCGCCGCAGCCGGCGCCGGGCTACAGTGAGCAGGATGGCTCGTTTGTGCTGTGTCCACGCCCGTCGGCATGTGCAGGCTCGGGGCGGTGCGCGCAGGGCTACTCCGGCTCGTTCTGCACCACCTGCAGCGACGGGTACTATCGGACAAGCGATGGCGCGTGCAAGGCGTGTCCGCCAAACCCTGGAGGCGTGTTTGCGGCTGTGGTCATTGCCCTCGTGGCGCTGTCGATGGTCGGTGCGGTGTTTGTGGCCTGGGTGGTGATGCGATCGCTCGAGGCGACGAATGCGGGCGAGCACGGGCAGAAGCACATCATTGCGTTCCGGATGCGGACGATTCCAGTCTCGATCTCCATGTCGCTGGTGGCCTTCCAGATTGTGAGCATCTTTGCCGAGTCGAACTTGAAGTGGAGCGACTCGTCACAGCGGGTGCTCTCGGTCTTTTCGGCCTTCAACATCAACGCCAACGTGGTAGCGTCCGAGTGCGCTGTGACCTCGTTCCACAAGATGTATGCCCTCTCGATCGCCATTCCCTTTATCATTGTCGGCCTTGTCATTGCCAACATGATGGTTCTCAAGGTCCTAGGTACGGCTGTGGAACGGCTGGCGCCGCTTCGCGCCGTCCCCATCCGATCGCTGGTCGACGCAGTGCTCTTCCTCGTTGCGCCGCTCCTCTACATCCCGCTCTCGCAGTCATCGCTTGCGCTCTTTGACTGCTCGCAGCTGCCTAACGGGCAGTACGTGCTGGACGCTGACACGGGCGTGGTGTGCTTTGACGACGCGTGGTGGGCAATCGTGCCGTTTGGTGTCGTCGCCATCCTCATCTACGTCATCGGCGTCCCGGTCTACTTTGGCATCACCCTCTTCCTCCACCGGCTCACCCTTTTCTCGCCGCATACCACGGCACGATTTGGCTCGCTCTACCGCAACTGGCGGCGGGCGTACTACTGGGGCGAGATTGCTAACCTCTTCAAGCGGCTGGCCATCGTCGTCATCACCACCATGTTCTCCAAGCACCAGCTGGTCCTTATCGGCATGCTCCTTCTCATCCTCGGCTCGTCGGTCTACATCTTTGTCCGCATCCGCCCGTACTACGTCCCGCTTTACAACGAGGTCGAGACTCGGCTCTCCATCGCCGTCATCGCCATCCTTCTTCTCGGATCGGCCTCGTACGCCGAGCGTACTAGCTCAGCGAGCGAGATTGCGCTCTTTGTCTCTGTCATCATCGCCATCATCGCGCTCTGTGCCATTGCCGTCCACTCGATCGCCATGGACATCCTATCGGTCTACCGCGAGCGCAAGCGCGGCGAGCTTCCGGCGGCCGAGCGGCAGAAGGGTCTCATGAACGTCATCACTGCAGAGCTCAAGGATGTCGACGCTGACCCCGCCGTCCTCCGCTCAGCTGGAGAGTTCCTCGCCACCCTTGATGCTGCGCACCACGCAAAGTCGACCCATCGCGAGCGGTCATCATCGGTGGACCTCGGCCAAATCGGCGAGGTTGAGCTCGACACCCTGGACGGTGCTCAGCTTGTTTAAAACACCACACAGGGAATCGACCGTGATGTGTACGTGAGCGTGTGTGCAGGGCTGTACAAGGAGATAGAGGAAGAGTCCGTCAAAAAATCAAAGATCATCATCACCCCCGGCCTCCCCCGCCGACCCCACTTCGCAGCCCACAACGTCGAGCTCACCGCACCGAAGCCACCGAAGCGATTCTCGGTGTAAAAGAGAAGCACATCCACATAGACGTCTTGCTCTCCATTGATCCGTTCGTTCCAATCTCATGCGATGTGACTGGCCCTTCCTCCTCCCGCCCCCCCGCCCCACCCTCCCCCCCCCCCTCGCCCAGCCCACCCACAAAAAATCCCATCACCCCCCCTCTCCCACCTCTGTCGCCACCTACTCCACTCTGCCAGCTGACCTGACTGACCATGCTGAGCCTCACCCGCGTTACGCTGGCCACCCACACCGCCCGCCTGTCGTCGACTCTGGTTGCCACCACCTCCAAGGGCGGTAACACTCTCAAGTTCTTTGACACTGGTACGTGCGATATCTGCATATCTGCATGGTGTTAGGTAGTCCATGGCCATGCCTGGGGGCTGGCCAGGGAGGGGGGGTGGCTGGCCAACCAAATTCGCCGGATCCCACCCGCCAGTCACCACCACCCCGGGCATGACCTGGCCATGGCCATAGAGAGAGGAGCAGACCGATTTAGAGACTCCTTCTTGGTGTGCGACGCGAACCAAATGCAATAGTGCTATTAGTGAGACTGGGTTGGTCGGGGCAGAGATGGTGCGACCGGTAGCGGTAACGGGGGCTCCCCCCCCCGCCCCGACCTCGGGCCTTGTCGCGCCCCGCTCGGCCGCCCGCCGCGCTCGGCTCCGCTCGCCCACTCGGCCGAGCAACTGGCTGCTCTGATCGGGCATGGGGATGACTCACATTTGTTGTGGGATGGGGTGACGACGGACAGAGAACAAGCACATGCAGCAGGTTGAGCTGGACGAAGTGGCGCCTGCTGTGGCCGAGGGCTCGTTTGTGGCGCCGAACGCTACCCTGGCCGGCAAGGTCGCCGTCTACGACGGGGCGTCGGTGTGGTACAACGCGGCCATCGAGGCTGATGCGCATCCGGCGGTGCTCGGCTTCAAGTCGGCTCTGCTTGATGGTGCGGTGCTGCAGTCCACGGCCGACACGCCGGCCTCGGTTGGCCACTTTGCCACCATCGGTGCCAACGCGGTCGTGTCGGGCGCTTCCGTCGGCGATTCGGTCGTCGTCGGCTCATCGGCCTCGATCGGCGAGGGCGCAGTCGTCGGCTCGGGTGCGGTCATCCAGGACGGTGCTGCTGTGGCGCCGGGCACCCACGTGCCTGCTGGTGAGGTGTGGGGCGGATCGCCGGCCCAGTTTGTTCGCAAGGCCTCCGAGGGCGACGCCATCAACGCCGCCGGCCTGTACGAGGCCAACGCTGCCAAGGCCCAGGCCCACGCCAGCGAGTTTGTCTTCTCCACCGAGGTCTGCTGAAGCGGCTCTTCCCTGCGCCCGCCCGCTGGCCCGCCGTCTCGCCGTGCCTACCCACCGCATACAAGCGGACCGGGATGACAATGGCCCACCGAGATGGCTCCCACCAACGGCGCCCACGGATGACCGACGCTCGTAGTGCTGAAGGACGACGTAAGCACCCCCCCCCCCCCCCTTCCCCACACAACACACACCAATCAATAGCCATAATGAATGATGCCAGCCACCAGCCGGCAGCCCAGCCCGCCAGGGTCATTCTGCCACTGATCTTGACCGCATTGAGCCATGCCACCACAAAAAGGTCGTGGTTTCGCCCGCCGTGGACCGGCACGAACTCGCCATTGACCACCCGACTTCACGAAGCTCGCGCTAAAGATGTCGCTCCTCTCGCCGCAGTCGTCCGAGAACACTGGCGTGGTGGGCCTCCACTCCAAGCCGACGGAAGAGCTTGCGCTGGATGCGCCCTTCCGCCCTGTCCGCTTCTCCAAGGTCTACCACTCGCTCCAGCACAAGCCCTGGGCTGACCACTATGTCCCCTACACCGACATGGTCCGCAAGCTCGCCGCCCTTGTTTCCGTCGAAGCCGCCACTCTCTCCGAAGCCGGCGCCTCCGATCCTCCGCTCCCGCTCAATCTCATCGAGCGAGTCGCTCTGCCCGATGAGCATCCGGCCGGCGCAGATCTGGAGGAGGTCATGCCCGAGCTGGACGACGTCGACATCGATCCCGAGACAAAGAGCTTCCGCAGGTGGATCGCAGATCTCGAGGCCTCGCGCAAGGCCGTGGCTAGCTTCATCGAGGGCAATCTTGATGACCTACGCGCCTTTATTGCCCGGCGCAAGCTCCTTCTCGAGCGTATCGAGGCCGGCACAGAGCCGGCCGTCGACGACGACAGCGCCCACGACGCCCTCGTCGACGAGCTCGCCGGTGACAACACCGTCGGCGACACTGCTGCCCGCCTCCACGAGTTTATCGACCTCAATGCTGAGGCCCTCACCCGCCTCTGTCGCTCGTACGAGGCCCTTGTCGGCACCCCGCACGAGGTTGTCCACGCCATCGAGGTCATGCAGGCCGACACCAACACTGCCATCTCCGCCCTCGTCGTCACAGACCACACCATCCGCGTCAAGCTTCTCGAGGCCCTCGTCGCCGCTCCCTCGCGCCAGTCCTCGCCCGAGCCAGCCTCGACCCCTGCGTCCTCGTCGGTGCCCACCGGCCTCGCCTGGCGCGCCGTCGACGCCGTCGTCGTCGACGAGCTCGACCTCGACTCACTCGCCCTCGGCAAGACACATAAGATCTGGGTCCGCATCATCGACACCGCCGTCGGTATTCCGCTCAAGGTCCCCGTCCTCGTCGCCCGCGGCAAGCTGCCGGGCAAGATCCTTGGCCTCACCGCTGCCCTCCATGGCAACGAGGTCAACGGCATCCCGGTCATCCAGTCTGTCTTCTCGCTCCTCAACCCTGCAAAGCTTTGTGGCACCGTCGTCGGCGTCCTCGTCGCAAACGTCGTCGGCTACGAGGAGTCCACCCGCGGCATGGGCCTCCGCGGCAAGGACCTCAACCGCTGCTTCCCCGGCCGCCCTGACGGCGACTGCGAGGCGCAGTACGTCTACTGGCTCTTCCAGAAGATCATTGCAAAGTTTGAGGTCCTCATCGACCTCCACACCGCCTCACAGGGCCGCGAGAACTCGCTCTACGTCCGCGCCTCCATGAACAACGACGAGGTCGCCGCCATCGCCCAGCTCCAAAAGTCGCAGATCATCGTCCACAACACCTCGCCCGACGGCTCGCTCCGCGCAGCCGCCATGGCCGAAGGCATCCCTGCCATCACCGTCGAAATCGGCGACTGCTCCGTCCTCCAGCCGCGCTTCGTCTCACACGCCCGCCGCGGCATCTTCAACATCCTCTCCTACTACTCTATTATCGCTGCTCCCATTGTTTCTTACGGCGACCGCGACACCGTCGTCTGCGGCAAGTCCTCCTGGATTTACACCCCAGTCGGCGGCATGCTCCGCATCTACCCACGTCTCACCCAGTGGGTCGAGGAGGGTGAGGAAATTGCTGTCATTCGCTCTGTCTTTGGCGCTATCGTCCACCGCGTCCCCGCGCCCTGCCGCGGCATCATCATCGGCCGTGCAACAAACCCGGTCGCCCGCGCCGGCGACCGTATCGTCCACATCGGAACAGTCGTGTCCTCATTCGCCGCAGAGTCGCACGACGGCCACGAGTAGCAGCCGCCCACGACAAACATACACCCGCTTTTTGACGCTGTTTAACTGCTGCTGCTGCTGCTGCTGCTGCTACTGCTCGAGCCATCGCCGCTCGAGAGCTGCGAAACCGTCGACGCGACGCCAGCCGACACAACGGTGGTCGCAAACGGCGACACGCCCAAGCTGGTAAACGGCGACGGCCCCGTGCTCACCGGTGGGGGTGGCACCAGCGTCGATGCGGGCGTCTCGATCGACACCACCGAGTCGAGCACGATGTCCGAGCCCGCTCCAACCGAAGAAACGCCTATCATCATGCCCGCAGAGTCTAGTCTCATCTCGCTGCCACCCACATGTTGCACCGGGAGCGCACTCGGCGCCAGCGTCTCGCAAATGTACGTCACCGACACAGTATCGTCAAACATGTCGATCTGCCCTTCAAATCCCAGCTCGCCGTCTCTGGCTTGTTGCCCGTCAAACAGCTTCTCAGCCTCGGAGTTCCGCCGCCAGATCAGCACCAAGTCAATGATGTTGCCCACCACAATCGCCGCAACGTTGACGGCGATCGCCCCGATCGCCACCGTGTCGCGGAACTCGGGCACCGCAGACGTGCCGGCCCACAGCACGCTCACGCACGATGCGAGACACACCACCGCGAGCTGGTTGTGAAAGTTCGACGCGTACGGCTTGACATGCACGAGGTGACAAAGCGAGATGACCAGGCCGTACAGCGCTACGTTCGCCTTGACCAGCGGCGCCCGGAAAAACGTCATCGCCATCACCACGCTCACCTTGCGAACCATGATCCACACCTCGAACCGATAGTTGAGCGCTGTGAATCGGCCTACGAGGAATGCGTACCGCAGCCCAAACAGGATCTGGTCGCTCCGCCGCTGCACACGCGTCAGTAACAGGTACACCCCGCCCGGGATACCGATCGCGTACCCGAGGCAGAACACAACCGCAGGACCAAAGTAGTTCCAGTACCACACCCCGTAGCAGCTCTTCGACGGTGATGCCTCGAGCACCCACCGCCCGTCCTTGTCGCGCCGGCACTGCAGATAGCTCATCGCCATCGCCGACAGAGGTAGGTACAGCAGCACCATCAGCTGGAGGTACGCGCGCCGGCACGCGTCACGCAGCGCACCGCCCGTAATCGCCACTGCGCGCCCCAGCCGCGGCGCAACGTGGTGCTTGTTCACCATCACGCTGCAGTAAACAATTGCAAACGGAAGGCAGAACAGTAGCGGAAGACTCACCGTCAGCCACCATTTGAGCAGCCACACGTTGTCGGTAAACGTTGCACACTCTGGCGAGCTCAGATCCAGATTGAGGTTGAAGAACGAGACCACGTTGAAAAACTGTGACGCAAAGTTCGGCCACGGCAGCTCAAACTGCCCGTACATCGCGCTGATCTGCAGAGAGTTGAACCCGATCATCGCTGCCGCAAACCGATAGCTCAGCTCCTCCTTGGCGTTGAGCCACACCAGAAGGCCCACAAACGCCACAGCCACTACAACAAAGAACACAAGCAACGGGAGTGTCCGGTTGTCACACTTGTAGCATGTTCCGCCGAGCGCATAGTACCCGCGATCGCACGCTCCGCACAGCCGACCGGTGTAGCCCTGGGCGCACACAAAAGGCGCGCCACCGGGGCATGCTGCCCGGTTCGGGCACTCGAGGAACACCCCGGGATCGGCCGTCGGAAAGTAGCCCGGCCGCGCCACCGGCTGCGCCCGCCCGCCTGCGCACGATGCACCTTCGGGGCACTCGACGCACGCCACATTGTCGTTGCCATTCACAGACCAGGCCCCGGGCATGCATGTGCAGTTGATTGGCTGGCCAGGCACAGGCAGAAAGCCCGGTACAACCTGCGCAAGCACCGGGCACGTCAGGCACTCGACCGCACCCGTTCCAGTCAGCACCGTCGTCGATGGGCACGCCTCGCATGGCTCAAGCGACGTCTCCGCCGAGAACGAGCCCTCGGTGCAGAGCGCACACTCAAGTACACCCGATCCGTCTTTCTGCAGCGCGCCAGAGCCTGGCAGACACGCCTGGACCACCACGCTCCCAAACACACCCGAGTTGGGCACCACCGCCAACGGCACCGCAGACTTGCTCACCCCGATTCGCACTTCGATCGGGACGCCGACTGCTGCTCCGACTCGCGCCGCGATGCCGACGCCACCAAACGACACGCTCGCGCTCGAAATGAGCTGCTGCACCCCGGTCCCCACAAACGCGTAGGACTCCGAGTCGCTCGCCTTGACAAAGCCCATCCCTACGTTGAGCTGCGGGTCGACAACAGTCTGACCCAATCCGTCGTATCCGCGCACGATGGCGCTTCCAGATCCCAATGGCGCACCCGATGACACTGTCTCCGGCAGGCCTGCCTCCCACTCCAGCTGCACCAGCGGCGTCGCCACCATCGGGCCGTACCCCACGCTCGCCATCACATCCGACAGTGTGTCGTTGAGCGCGCGGACGCTCGCGGCGTCCGCCCACATCCACGGCAGACCGAGCAGCTCGACTGGCGCGCTCGCCAGGCAACACTCATCGCTCCCGCGACCACAGTATCCGGCATCGGTGACGCACGCAAAAAAGAGGCCCGATGCCGGCGCCACGTCACCGACTCGCGCACTGGTGTCAAACGTCACTTGCGTCGCACCGCCCGAGACCCGGACCGGCGATCCGCAAGCGAACCCGACCGAGCCATACACCGCCACGTTCCCGTCGAGCTGCATATCGCTCATTGCCAGCTCTCCGCGCACGCCGCACCCGATGCCTCCATGCCGCGCGCTGAGCTCCTCGTCGTCTGCAAGACGAAGCGCCTCCAGCGATGCGCTAGACGACTCGATCGCAAACCCGTTGCGGGCGAGCGGCATGACAAGGTACTCGCTCATGCTCGTGGCACCGCCAGCACCGCCCCATGCCGCCGAATTGCCCCGCATCACGCCCGAGCTGACGCGCGCGATGCCGGTCCCGGTAACAGCCACGCCGCCGCCTATCCTCCGCGCGTAGTTCCGCTCCAGGGCCGCGCCGGTGAGATCAAACTCGGTTCCGCTACCCGTCGCAAAGCCGCCACCGCCGTGGACGTCGGCAACATTGTGGGCAAGAACCAATCCGCCGCTGCTCTGCACGCTGCACCTCGCCGACTGGCTCTCGGCAGACGCAGCCAGCCCGCCGCCGCTGCCAGCGGCCGAGTTGCTGGAAATGATCATACCGCTGGCAAACGTGGCATCCACAGACGACTCGTCGAGCGCCACCAGGCCGATACCACCGCCGTTGCCGCCGCGGGCGCTGTTGTGCTCGATGAGTGCGTCACTGCCGGACAGGAACAGCTGCGCAGTACTCGAGGTGCGGACAAACAGGCCTCCGCCGGCTTCGCGCGCGGCATTGTGGGCGAACACACTGCCACTATCGACTCTCACGTTGCAGATCCCAGCAAGGAGAATCACCGACGTCGCACCGCCGCGGCGCGCAGAAGCGATCGCAGGCGACGTGCCCACCGCTGTGTTGCGCGCCAGCTCGGAGCCGCGAAGCGTGAGCGACGATGCACCGCCGGCCGACTCGAGAAAGACGCAACCGCCGGCAACCTCGGCAACATGATCGACACACGCCACTCGCTCAAACATGATCTCGACCGCAGTCCCGATCGCAGCCACTGCGCCACCAGAGTGCTCGGCCGTGTTGCTCGCAAACACGCTGTCGACTGCCTCGAGTCGGCCACCGCGCAGCAGCACTGCACCGCCAAATCCGACCACCGGCGACGCCACCGAGAGCTGGCTCGCCGTCAGCGCCGTGGCGTTAACAACCTGCACATGCTCCAGCCGCAGCGTGCCGGCGTTGACCTCGAACGCGCCGCCGCCAAACCGTTTCTCACCCGAAACCGCGCCGGTGATGACCATGTTTGCGAGCGTCAGCTCCACGTCTGCGCTCTCGATCCTAAACAGCGTCGACGCGGCCGCTACGTCCGTGTCGGGAGAACGGGTACAGTCAATGACCACGTTACCCTCGCCACGGAGCCGGACGCTCTTGCCAACAACGTACGGCTCGCTCCAACACCCAGTGTAGCGGCCAGCCGGAAGAACAATCGTGTCGTTGAGACCCGAGCCGGCGCGAAGAACGACCTCGCGGAGCACACAAGCGAGCGTGTATCCGCAGCCGGCAACGTCAACCCGAAAGGTGGCCGCTGGCCGCGAGAGCCGCCACATCGAGGCCATACCCGAGTAGATGACCTTCTTGTATGACCCGCCTGTCAGTACCGCCAGCCAGTCCGGGAGCCCATCGCCGTCTATGTCGGCAACAGCAATATTGTTGGCATCAGATGTCGTATCCGCCACGTCGTCGTACAGGCGGGCGACCGAGGCAAACAGCGCCGCGCCCACACCAGGATGGGTGTGGTTGAACTCGGTAGCAGCAAGCAGCGGTGACTGGTTGATGCCAAGCAGCCGTCGGCCATTCGACATAACGAGTACGTCAGGCGCGCCGTCCATATTCGCGTCGAGGATGGCAAGCGTCGCTGCTGCCGCAGCAACCTCGGGCTGTGGCGCAAATGTGCTTGTGTCCACCGTGAGGGTCGATGGATGGAGCGGTGAGAAGGACGGCAAGCTCGCACTGCCGATGTTGATCGCATATGATATGGCGCTGGCTCCGGCATCGCTCACGAGCACCACATCGACCAGCCCGTCGCTGTTGATGTCTACGAGCTCGAGGCCGGTCACAGCAAAAGCGCCCGTCGAGGCAATAGCTCCGACATACGAGACCGTCCAAGGCTCGCCGCTACCACCAGGCCCGCCTGAGATGTACGCCTCGACGGTGCCCGAGGTTGAGCAGGCAAAAACAAAGTCAAAAAGGCCATCATCAGTTAGATCGACAACCTGCATGAACCGCTCCATGGTGCAAGACGACGACCAAGAAGCCAGGACGTAGGGCGGATCAAATCGCGTCGACGAGTCGGGATTGCCGCGAAAAAATACCAGATTCTCTGACTGCTGGCCGACAACAACAAGGTCAGGCCACATGTCCGCGTCGATGGGAGCGACGCCAATGTCGTTAGCGAGTTTGAATACGCCGGTCCCATCGTCGATGATGACATTCTGGGCAGGATCAAAGAACGGGAGCGTGCCCGAGTTGGGGATCCAGCGCATCTGATAGCCGGCGCTCGACTGGGTTGCCATCAGCAGATCCTCGCGGCCGTCCATGTCGATGTCGACCGAGCCCATCCAAGTTGCGTGGAAGCCCAAGCTGAAGACCGGGTAGCTGATAAACGCGTCGCCTCCGGTATACAGGTGGATGCGCGTTTGATCGCTGTTGTAGACAATAAGGTCGACAAGCGAGTCATGGTCCCAGTCGCCAACGACCATCGAGCGGAAGTTTCCATATCGATTGTTGTGGACGTCAATCTGGCCGCGCATTGCCGCGGGATATCCCAGATTGGTCACAGCGGCGAGGCGCGTGTCGACGCTGAGCATGACATCGAGGTAGCCGTCAGAGTTGTAGTCGGTGAGCGCAAAGCCGTCGGCGACGGCGGATGGCAGCCCAATGTCGGGCAGCGGCCGGTACGAAGTATACACGACGGGGTCGGATGGCGTGGGTGGGAGGCCAAAGAATACGGCCATCTCATGGTTGATAACGAGTACGAGGTCAAGCAGGCTGTCGTCGGCCGGGTTGAGATGCGCAACCTGGAGCTGTGCCCTTGCATTGCAAAAGGTAGCGGCTCCCATGGAGGCAACCACGATACGAAGCCCACCGTCGGCGTCGAGATTGGCAAGGCCGACGCCGCGGATGTCGAGAATGGCGATGACATCGCGGTCAGAAGTGAGAACAACGTCGCGCGAGGTGTCGCCGTCCAGATCAACGACTGTGAGCGCACCGGCGCAGGTGCCGGCTGTGGTCAGGTTGGTGGCGGCCACCTCGGTTGTTGTCACCCAGTCGATGCCGAGATAGAGCCACACGTAACTGTCGCCAAAGAGCGGCTGCCACACAACCCCAACGCCATCGGGGGCGATAAAGGTGGCGGCCACCGGGATGTCACCGACGCTCTGGGCGCGACCGACAACAAGAGCAGGAGCAAAGGCAATCGGATCGCCTGGCGATGCCGACGTCTCGACGTGGGTGTTGCGGAGAAGGACGACGTCACCCGAGGCGAGCGGAGAGAGAACGTCGAAATCGCCGTCTCCGTCAACATCCTGCACAAAGACGGTGCGGGCGTCATCGGCATGGACCTGCGCGATGGCATTGGGGTAGGCTGGTAGCCCAGCGCCACCGCTGGCGGTTCCAGGGCCTGCGGTGACATAGACCGAAAGCGCGCTAGGCGCGGCGTGGGAGGAGGCGACGACAAAGTCGGGCACACCATCGCCGTCAAGGTCGCCGATGGCGTTGGGCTGGCTCTGGCCGAGCGTGTCCCCGAGGATACCGACAGGGTGGCGGACTGAGAAGCGCTTGGAGTACAGCGGATCGTTGCGGAGGTAGAAGAGGGCGCGACCGGCGTTCTTACCGGTTGGCGGCCCAGCACCGAGAACGAGATCGAGGAGGCCGTCCGAGTCCATGTCGACAATCTCAAACGTAGTGGCGGAGACGTCGTAGAGCTGGGCGACAACGAGCGGCGGGTCGAGAAAGGTTGAGACTGAGGTCGAGTAGAGCGAGCAGAAGATCCAGAGGTAGCTGCCGACGCCGCACACATCGAGGTAACCGTCATTATTGATGTCACCTAGGCGTGCGCGGTAGACATGTGCAGGCATGCCTGTGATGGCGACCTGGGTGCGGTAGTAGGTGGCGCCGGCATCGTGGCGGAGGTACTCGACTTGGTTCGGGTATGAGCGGAGGAAGACGATGTCGTCGTCGCCGTCAGCGTCGACATCGCCTACAGTGGCATCGCGCATGCGGTCATACGAGGCAGCAAGGACAGGGGTCCCGGGCACAAAGTCGGAGGTGGGCGTAGCCGCGTCATTGATGTAGATCATGATTACGTCAGAGTCCTGCGCCGGGAGCAAGACATCGAGGTCACCGTCCGAGTCATAATCCATAAAGTGGAGTGAACCAGCCCAGCCGTAAGCGGGGGTGAGAGGCATACGGGGCCCAAAGGTACCCGGTCCGGTACCGTGCTTGAGAAAGACGTTGCCGGACTTGTCGGTGAGCCAGACAATGTCGACAAAGCCATCGGCATTGATGTCTGCGACGTCGAGGGAGCAGACCCAGCCCTCGGCCGAGTCGTACGGCTCGATGACACGGGCGGGCAACTCAAAGGTGCCGTTGCCAGTGTTGGCGAACCAGACGAGGTCGCTAGCGCCTCCAGCATCGCTGCTCTCCGAGAACCAGACGACGTCGTTGTCACCGTCGACATCGATGTCAAAAACAGAGACGGCCTGACGGTCAGAGGAGAGCACGTACGCGGGATCAAAGGCCGGGAGAGGCGGACGGGCCAGCGGCCAGCGGCCAGAAGCGACACCCTGGATGGTAAAGATGCCCTCGGTGCGTGAGATGACGACATCCGGGACGGTATCATTGTTGAGATCGCCGGCCCATGCGTCATGCAGCGCGACGGCGGAGACATCTCCGGGCGCCTTGTACCACGGCTGCGCAAAGACGTCACCCATACGCGCAGCTGGCCCCATTTCCCGGGTCAGGCAGCCTGCGAGCTGGTCCGCCGGCTCGGCAACATCGTACTGCGGCGCAGCACCAGGTGGGATGGGCGGGCCAGAGCTTGGAGCGCTGGTGTAAGGCGAGCCGGAGGGAATGAACGAGAGGCCGCGGCTGTTGTGGATGCCGAGATCTGTCCGGCCGTCGCAGTCGATGTCGACAGCAGTGGCAAACACACGCTCCTCCCAGTACAAGCTGGCAGAGACCACCGGTGTCAACAGATCACCATACATGGCGGGAGGGGTTGTCGGCGACTGGATTCAAGCGGGTCGCCGTCCATACAGAGACCCAACCCCGTCCGCACATCGATCCCGTGCGCAAATCGGGCCACATATCATTCCCGTTTGCAATGGTCCCACATCAATTAGTTCCTTCGACAGCGTACCGGTGCCACACACACGCACACGCACACACATAGAGAGAGAGACAGACAGACGAACACACACTTCCCCATTGCCACCGAAGCAGAGACTGGGCAGAAAGCGGGCAGGTGGTTGGAGGGGATTAACTGGACTTTGGCCACAGACGGTCAATTTGGCAACGTACGCTGGCAGAGCAGACGGCGACCGACAAGACGACCATAGCCGCCACAGCCACCACCAGCACACGCAACTGGGTGATACTGGAGTGAGGCATGGGAATGGAGATAGAGAGAGAGTGTGTGTGGGGTGTGGGTGGGGGGGGGGGCGGTGAGAGGAAGGAGGGGGAAGGAAGGAAGGTGTGTGAGCGGTGTGTTGCCGTGAAATGGCTTTCCGCGCGGTGACAACGTGAACGTTGCATGGTTACGGGACAACAATTTTATGGATTTTTCAAGGGAAGGGGTGTACTCTCTGATGTCCTGCCTCAGGCTAGCTACCAGCCACGGTTTGGCAATCGCGCCACTTGAGAGCGACACACTGCCAGATGCAGTCATCGCAGTGCGCTTCGACGTGATGCTGCGACGGCAATATCACATGGCTTGGTGGTCAAAGACAGCGACGCGGAGGGGAGAGGCGGCGGAAGGATCGCCGCCGGGAAGGTGGACATAGTAGGTGACAAGGTGGGTGAGCGGGGTGGCGCCGGTGCCGGCGTGGGTGAGGACGAGGCGGAAGCCAAACTTGGAGTAGGCAAGCGAGTCGGCTGCGAGCCGGGGAGTGAGGTGGACGAGGACGGTAGCGCGGTGGCGCGAGCGCGAGGCGATGAGTTCGGGCGTGTCGTCTGTCCGCAAGTCGGACTCATCAGGATCAAACATGTCCAGCTCGGCGAGGTCGACGCGCGCCTCGAGGTGTGTGGAGCCGCCTGCCGCAAAGGTGGCGTCGAGCGTGGGCGGAAAGGCTGCCGAGTGAAGCCGTGATGTCGGGTCGTGCAGCCGGCCCGACGGCGAGAGCTCGATGTCGTCGGGCAGGTCGCCAGCGAGCGGGAGGAGCCGCACACCCACAACCTCGTCGAGCGGGTTGGCCAGCGAGAGGCGGACAACGACAGGAGTCTGGGGCGGTGTGCTGGCGAGCGCCGCGAGCAAGCCGGCGTGGTCTAGCGGCTGTGCAAGCTCGGCCCACGGTAGGTACTCGAGGGCGGTCTGATGGATCTTGAACTTGACCGACGACGGCGAGATGTCCGGCCGGATGAGAATGCGCTCGCAACCGTTGCAGCGGATGCGACGGCGAACGCGCAGCCGCCGGCGAAGCGGCATGAGGTCGGCAAAACGCCGCGGCTGGGCGTGAACGTTGGCATGGCGCTGGGTGAGCGACGAGAGCGAGGCGAGATCGTCGACAGCGCCGGCTTCGCCCGCCATGACCGCGTACGGGTCGCGGACACAGGCCGGACGCGCGGCGGCGCGCGCAGCGTTCACCACGGCGCGGAACTGAGCGTCTTCGGCATCTTCGCGCTTCTTGCGCTCAGCGGCGCGGACGGCGCGCGCTTCCTCTTCGTCCCTCCGCAGCAGCGGCAGCGGCTGCGCGTGCGCGCGCTCCCATGTCAGCGGCAGCGCATCGCCATCGTGGTCGCTC